CCCCCCCCCCCCCCCCGTTGCCCAGGCAGCTTTAGGTTCCAGCATGGCTTCAGTCCTGCTCACTCCAACAGTGGGATTAAAAAGTTTGGCCAATAAAGCTTCCCTAAAGTAGGCGAAGAAGAAAAACAGTCCTGGAGGGTCGTGTGGAGACAGCAGAGAGGTTTATAAAAACCAAGGAAGTGAGAAGCAGCTTGCTAGCGGGATGAGAGCGCAGGGAATAAGCGCGGCAGGGGCGATTGCGGAGCAGCCGTCGGGAGGGGCGTTGATCCTTTCATTCTGGGGCACGGAAACTTGAAGTTGCTGGGCGACCAGGGGAGGGAGGGGCAAGTGTTTTCCAAGGGGTGCTGTGCTCAGGGGAAGAGCACTGGGAGCCTATTTCTGAACACAGGAAACGGGTGCGTGGGGTCGGTGGGGTAGAAGAGGCAGCCGCAGTCCCCAGACCGACCCACGGAGCTGAGAATTGCGCTTGCGTGTTAAAGGGGGAGGGGAGCTTGTCCAGCGGGATCCTGAGGAAGCGAGGCGACGCCAAGCTCTTCCCCACACTCCGTGGATAGGGAACAGTTAAGAGCCAGGCCACCAGCCGTTGCCAGGAGACTTTCTGTGACGCGGCCGCCGCGCGATGGCGCAATGACGCGATGACACGCCGACTGGTCGCGGCTCCACGTCTCTGTTCCGCAAAGGCCTGTGGGAACGACCCGGGAGAAGGAGGGCCAAGATGGCGGAAGCGGCGGAGTCTCCGGGTGACCGGGGGAGAGCGTCGCCCAGGCCCCTGGTGAGCTTGGTATCTGCGAAGAGGGACCGAGGGTGAGGCAGAGTGCCCCCTAAGGAAGTCGGGGGACGGGCTTGTGGCCCGAGAGAGCCGGATCCCCTTCCGCCCGGGAGACCCTTCCTTTACCCGATGCCAGAACCAGTCCCAACACTGCGCCTGTTCTTTGGGCTAACCGCTTTGCCCCCAGCCCACCTCGTTCTTTCCACGCCTTCATGTGAAACTCCCATCCTTTTTTCTACCCCGTATTCTCACGACTCGTCCTTGTCCCCAATATTGTGTTAAATACCGAGCTTTAGGTGATAAATACCTTTTCTTCCGCTGCCCCCTCATTTTATGAAGACCTGTCACCAACCTTGTTGGAGTAGCAGCAGTCTACTGCTAGGAGTAATGAAAAATTGCTTCCTAAAGGACGTTAACGTTTTATTGCTTATAACTTGAGTCTTGACTTGTTCAGTTACCCTAGTAAGCTAGGTTTAATACGCGCCCCTCCTGTGGCAGCTTCTTGCCGTCCTCTTCACCATACTCTCTTGCTCCTGTCTCTACAGGGGATAGAATTTCTATTGCCAAGTACAAGCCCAAAACGTGGACAAGTGTTTAAGAACACAGGCTTTGGAGTTAAACTTACCGGGGCTGGAATCCACCCACTCTGCTGCTTGTGTGAATTTGGGCAAGTCATTTCATGGAGGGTGTTTCTTCATCTGTAAAATGGAGATAAAAATACTGCCTCAAAGAGTTTTAAGGAAGATTAAATGACATAATTTATGTAAAGTGTCTAATACAATCAGTGCCATGAACTGAGGAGTATAATTAACTCAACATTCTGCCCCAATATTCCTCTTTCCAAGCAGTGTTTAGTTATGTAGTAGTTGCTCAATAAATACGTTCCTTGCCTCTGTTTTAAATTGCCAGCTTACAGTGGAGAACTGAACTGGCAGTCAAATGAACTTGATTCTAGTCCTGGCTCTGCTGCTTACTAGTTCTATTTGTTCATCTCTTCATTCATTCAACAAATATGAGAGCATCTGCTATGTTCCAGAAACTCTTTTAGGCACTGGGGATATAGTAATGAAGGAGAGTGAGTTGGGCCATGTTCTCATGGAGCAGTTGTGACCTCAAGTAAAATCACTCTGAACCCCAGTTTTCTTACTTGGAAATTGGTGATAGAAACTCATCACAGGATTAGTTAGAGGACTAAGTGAGCTAATATACACATAGTGCTTACCATGCATGATGTCGTTGCAGATGCTTAGCTGTTTTTAGTTCCTATCTTTCATCTAAACTGTCCCACCCCTCTTCTGTGAAGCTTTCCCCAGTTAACTTCAGTGGTTCTGGTCACTCATTACTCAGTATCCAATCTACTTCTATTTAACAAATGTTAATTGAACTCCCACAATATGTAATGCACTGTGCTAGTTGCTTTAGGGAATACAAAGGGCCTGCCCCTATGGTGCTTACAGTCTAATTTATAGAGATTAGGCAAATATACAATACTAAAATAAGGCATTATATAAGAGAAAGTTACACATAAAATATTAGGGAGATTTAAAAGAGCATGTTATCATGTCCAGTTGGGGTGATCAAGCAAGCTACATGGTAGAAGTTATATTTGAGAGGGCCTCAAAGGATGGGTAAGATTTGAAATTCCAGGTGAGCACAAGAGTTATCAGTGAGTGAGCATCTGCTATGTGCCAGGCATTGTGATAGACATACTCTGCATATTTTCTAAACTTCACAGCAACCATTTCAGTTAGGTAGGTGACTTTTAATTACGTTTTACTTACTGGTGAGGAAATGAGAGAGAGAAAGGTTTGATGATTTCTGTAGGGTCTACATCCAGTTAGTGGCCAGTCCTGAAATTTGAACCTAGGTCTAACTCTGAGGCCCAGGCTATTTCCATTTATGCTACATAGACAAAGGCACAGAGGTTGGAAGGTGCTAATGCATTGATAGAACAATGGGTAGATCACTTTGATTAAAGCACAGGGAATGATTAGCCTTACAAGGTATATGTACTGAATTAGGGAGGCAGTATGGAACTGTGGTTAGGAGTGTGTGCTTGAGTCAAACTGCCTAGGTTTGATTCTAAGCATTTTAACTTAACTAGTGGGATATTGGGGAAATTGGGATACTGGGGAAAGTACCAAATCCTTCCATACCTCAGTTTCCCCATCTGTAAAATGGAGATATAGTAATAGTTCATAGAGTTGTTAGGTGGATTAATGAGTTAACACATTAATGAATTAACACACTTAATAGAGTGCCTGGCACATAGTGATCATACAGTAAGCGTTATTATTGACTACTAAGCTGGGAGGTTTAATAGGCTACAAGGAGCCAGTGGAAATTATTGAGGAGGGAAAGGTTTAAAATAATGAATTTGACAGCGTAATAGAGGATGAGTTACGGTGGGGAATGTCTGGAATCTAGAAGACCAGTGAAGCTGTTGCCATAGTTCCGGGAATAAATGATGGGAACTGGACTACAGCAGTGGCAGGAGATGTGAGGATTTGAAGGACAAGACAGTATCTATGAGGGTTTGTAGTGCTAGGGAGAATGTGTCTTAGATCAGTGCTTTCCAAACTTTAATGTGCATAGCAATCATCTGGGGAATCTTGTTTAATTGCAGGTTCTGATTCAGTAGGTCTGGGATGGGGCCTGAGATTCTGCATTTCTAACAAACTCCATGGTGATGCTGCTGCTCCTCCTCCTCCGGCTCCTGTTGCTCCTGCTCCCAGTACCACATATTGAAAAACAAGGCAATAGACAGCTGAGAGAATAGTGGTGCCCTGAACAAAAATAGATAACATATGAGAAGGGTTAACTGGATGAGGGCCTTAAAAGTTGATTAATTCCATTTTGGACAAGTTAAGTTTGAGATACTGGCAGACCATTCAATAAATATTCAAACAGCAGTTAGACTTTAAAACCTGGACTTCAGGGCTCAGAAGAGATTAGGACTAGAGACGCTGATTTAGGAGTCATCTGCACAGAGTCAAAAAGACAGAATCTTGGGTAATGTCCATCTATATTTAGAGGGCAGAAAGAAAAGCTATTATAATGGCTGCAGCCTGGGGTCTATGAGGAAGCTGGTTCCAGGTGAAGGAGCTAGCTGGAGACCATGCCATTAGCCACCCCTTCACCCATCCTTGGAGCCAGGCCTCTTAGACTGAGTTGATTCCTGCTTGATGCTTCCCCATTGACTTTTATCTCTCCAGGATTTCTGTCAATAGTATAACCTGTCTGTTCCCAGCTGTTTTTTTAGGAACTGCAGTTCCTGCTTTTATTGTATGTTTCCGTCCCTGCTTCTACCTGCTCCCCTCACTGGCCCAAGCCAGGCAGCAAAGTGTGCATGTGTGTTTCTGTGCACATGTGTATATATGTGCAGGAGCCTGCCTGTGCTTTGGAAAGAAGAGAGGCATGGAGTCTAAGTCACCTTCCCCCCCCCCCCCCCCCCCCCCCCCCCCCCCCCCCCCCCCCCCCCCCCCCCCCCCCCCCCCCCCCCACTGAGGGCTACTCAGAGAGTAGGGTTCATTAGTGAGGGCCTGGAAGTCCTGTCTGTTATGTATGGGGCTGGAGGGCCATAGATCCTGGCACCGCTCATGGAACAATGTCACCAATTCTCTTGAGAGGAGATACTGAGGAAGGGTTGGAATAGAGGATAGGGTGGGGATCACATGGCACTTTAGTAACTTTGGTGACTTCTGAGAACAACTACCTGGAGGTAGGCCAAACTTCACAGGTTAAGATCACAGTCCTTTATAAGACTACTGTTACTTCAGACACCAGCTACAAGCTTGGGGGTTCCCAGAACCACCCTCACTTTTGACCAACTGTCTACAAATTCAGGGGTTTCCATGATCCCCTCAGGTTCTGTGACTCATTAGAATGACTCACAAAGCTCAGGACAGTGCTGTACTTAAAATTATAGATTTATTATAGCAAACGAACACAAATCCCAACCAGCAAAAGGGAGAGATGCACAGGGTGAGGTCTGGGAAGGTCCTAAACACAAATATTCCTAGTCTTGTCCCTGTGGAGTCATGATGTGCTGCCCTTCTGGTATGTCAGTATGTGATAATATGTAGAGTATTGCCAACCAAGGAAACTCACTCATGTGTCTAGAGTTTTTATTGGGGTTTCATTATATAGGCATGATTGATTGTTTGGCCACATAATTGAACTCAATCTCTAGCCTCCCGCCCCTCCCCAGAGTTTGGACTTATATCATGAGACCTGAAGCCCCAACCCTCTAATCATATTTAGTCTTTTTCTTTTCTTTTTTTTTTTTTTAAAGATGACCGGTAAGGGGATCTTAACCCTTGATTTGGTGTTGTCAGCACCACGCTCTTCCAAGTGAGGCACAGGCCGGCCCATATGTTTGGTCTTTTCTGATGAGGTTAGCCCCCATCCTGAGTCATCTCCTTGGCATGAACTATCTAGGGGCCTACCATGATTCACCTGTTAGCATAAACTGTCAGAGATCAGAGCCCATCATGAATAACAACAATGCTGTTATTCAGGAAATTCTAAATTTAGAAGCTACCTCCCAGGAACAAGGGACAAAGACCAGCCAAATCTTTTATACAGGTGACAGAACTGGAATTGACTCTCTGGAAATCTTGAACTTGACCTAACATTTATCTAGACCCTGCTCTGTGCCTATTACTAAGTGCTTTACCTGTATTAATACATTTCTTTCTCACAACAACCCTGTGATTATCTCAATTTTACTGGTGAGGAAACTGAAGCACAGAGAGATTAAGTAACTTGCTGAATGTCCCATGGATAGTAAATGATGGAGCCGGGATTTGAATCCAGGCTGTCTGGCTCCAGTGGCCTGCACTCTTAACCAATATTCTCCAGATACCATATGTTGAGCATTGACTGTGCTAGGTGCTATGCAGGTGCTACTTAATTCTTAGTAGCAGTGTTTTTTATTTCTGTGTAAGAACAGAACCCTGTTTGGCTTTAAAGACTGTTCCTTCTACTGTACTGCCCTGCCT